GTGTGTTTAATGTGTGTTAAATTTGTGTTTAATGTGTGTTTAATATGTGTTTAATGTGTGTTTAATGTATGTTTAAAGTGTGTTTAATGTGTGTTTAATGTGTGTGTTTTTACAGAACTTCACAGAAACCCAGATGCCATCTGGTGTTTTGGAGGTGTAACTGCAGAGTGTAGTATAAATGCTCACAACAACATAGGTCACGTGCGTAGGCTGCAGCATAGAGCTGATTCACAAGTAAATCCACCTCTAGGAGGGTTTTGTGGCATTAAGAAGTGAGCACTGCAGTTTTTGTTCAGTAAGTTTGAACAGAAACTGTTTTTAAAGCCTAAGTAAAGAACCACAGCTGTTTGAGTTGCTTAGGTCATATTCCAGATGTATCCATCAGGCTGACTTTACTTTTCATGGAGTCAGAAATGTGCAGCTGGGGACACCAGTAGTCTCTGAGGAGGGGGACCTCGAGTCATTTCAGCTCATTACAAACAGCTCAGTCCTTAAAAAATGTCAGCAGCCACTGTGTTAGTAAATGATCTAGTGACCTTTGGTTTACACAGCAGCAGAGTTCTCACCTCGTACTCCAGGTCGTCCTGCCTGTCCACCTCATGGTTGGACACATCAAAGTAGTCATCGGGGTCGTTTTACTCAAACACACAGCTGGAGGGAGGAGGGAGAGAAACATTAATCCTCATCATATCTAACATGATTGATTTTTTTATTTGTGAGGACATGTCTTTATTCTCAACTTCCCCAAAAGACAACAGGTCAGGACATACAACTCATTGATCCCGTACGGTCCCCCGAGGTGAGGGAGGGGAGGGGAGGGTGGAGGTGGCGGAGGAGAGGAGGAGCCGCCTCCCCGCCCGTGGTGATTGTGGTGGTGACCTCTGTTCTTCCCCAGTGGAACGATGTTCTGGAAGCTGATGTCCGTCTGCGTGGCGTTGTCAACGCAGTCGGGGATTGCAACCATGGCAACGGAGTAGATGGAGCTGCTTCCAGTCCCGTTACCACTGCACACTAATGTACCTGAGAGGAGGAGGAGGAGGAGGAGGAGGAGGAGGAGGGTCAACAACTGAGTTTCAAAAGTTTGTTTAAGTGTTATTGTGTTATTTTATCTTCATTTATTTAAACCGTGTTTGACTCTGAAATGTCGTTCATTCATTTTGAGGACATCATGAAGATCTGAGCTTGATGAGATCAGAGATGTGAATCATGTAAAATATATAACACGATACCTTATACCCATATTTAGACCACCATGCTCACTGCCTTTATATTGAGAATGAACCAACAACAAAATCAAAGTCGATGGAAGCTGTAAAGCTGAAGAATCTGTATTTACTGCGTGTGTATGTCTTTATCTTGGCAGCTGTTTGCTTGAATAAATGAAGGAGAAAAACTACAAGGTAGGAGAGGATCCAGGTGGTGCACGACTGAAACTGAAGCCGATAAGGAGAAAAAGATAAAAAGCTGCAGTTACATCAGAAAAGATGGTAAAAGTCAAGTGATAACACAAAATGATCTGATATTTAAGGAGATGAGAGGAAAACGAGGAGAGTAAATGTCAGGAGATATGAGAGGGAAAGATGAAGGAGATGAGAAAATGTGACAAGGAAGAGGAACATCATTTGAAGCGAGATGGGACGAGGAGAAACCGAGTGAAAATATTAGATGAGCCGTAATGAGGCAGGAACGTGGGAAAGAAAAGACAGAGGATAAAGTGAGGTTTGGATCAGAAGTAATCAAGAGAGATGATATTAAAAAAGAGGATTCCCGTCTGATAGCGGCTCAAAACTTCACAGAGCAAAAGAGAAAGAACGAAAGGAGGTCTGACTGAATGACAAAACATGTGCTCATGCATGTTTCTGATGTTTGTTACGTGGTTTACCTTTCCTTCTTTGACTCTTGCGAACTGGACCAGGTTGGTGCAAAGGATCTTGGGAGTTCTGTGGTCTGTCCAGCGGGAGCTGAGAGGGTCTCCGTCCTCTGACCTGAGGAGACGGTGAGATCCACAGGATGACGTTTATACACAGGCAATGAGAATTAATACACCACCCAAAAAATGGAGGGAACACTTAATGGTCACAGTCTAACAGGAAGTCAGTTCAACTTCAGTGATATCTATTTGTCTGTTTTGGAAGGACAAGTCATGCTGCAGCCATACGTGCGAGCATCAACCCAGCAGCAGGACCGGTTTCTGCTCCTTTGTGTGAGGAGGAACAGGAGGAGCACTGCCAGAGCCCTACAACATGACCTCCAGCAGGCTACTGGTGTGCATGTTTCTGAGCACACTGTCAGGAACAGACTCCATGAGGGTGGCATGAGGGCCCCACGTCCTCTACAGGGACCTGTGCTCACAGCCCACAACACCAGAACTGGCAGGTCCACCACTGGCGCCACGTTCTCTTCACAGATAAGAGCAGGTGACAGGCGTCAAAGAGTCTGGAGACTCCATGGTGAGTGTTATGCTTCCCCAGACTTATGAGCAGAGCAGCAGCTCTACTCCAAGCTCGCTCCAGATGTCTGAGCTCCTCACCCTATCTCTAATGTTGTGTTCACACCAAACACAAGGCGAATTCTCACGCCTCGTTAAGGCCTTGCACACTGAGTTCATTTTTTTGGATGCGTTTTATTTTTTTAATTCCTCATCCAAAGAACATCGTTACGCACAGAACTGGAGTTACCTATCTGACTGTCACCACTGCACGAAGGGGCAGAACTGTCCTCCCTCTCTGTGTGCGGTCCACACCCTCCTCTTCATCATCATCCACCTGAATATTATTATCTGACCTGTTGAAAGTGAGCGATCTGAGTTATGAAATGATACTGTCCACTCCATTCCTCTGTCTTGTCACGGCTGTGTCCTGCTCCCACATGATTTTTTGAACATCGTCAAACGTCTCTAAATAGAAATGTCTCTTCTGATGGGTGTGAAAAACTCAGGAAATCAAACATGTTCTGAAAAGTTTTGTGGCAGACAAATGTTTCGGACTCAGTGTGGAAACGTGATTGACACAGCGTGAGGTCGCATTTGGTTTTAGACTTTGTATGAAAATAAACAGGCTCAGTGTGCAAAGATCTTTAGTTACTCATGCAAGTTTGAACATAAGAATATTTTGTGATGACTCACCTCATACACGACTGAAATCGTTGACTCGATTAATGAACTTCCGCCAGTTTGTCCTTGGCGTCATACGTCCCCGGAGCATCTCAATACTGACTCGCTATTGAGGCGTGAATCGGTCGCTGAAGATCAGATTTTTTAACTCTCACAAATAAGTGTATGACGCAAAGCTGCTTAATTCACATATGCTATGTCATTCACTTCGCCTCCGTCGCACTGTCCAGCAGGAATTCGCTTCTAATCACATTTTTACGTGCACTTTACATGTACGAACACAACATGAGGCTGAGCCCACGCTCACTTCAGCCTCCGTATATCTGCAATCTCATTCTTTTAGTCACTGCCCAGAGCTCATGACCACAGGTGAGGAATGGGACGTAGATGGACCAGTAAATCGAAAGCTTTGCCGTCTGGCTCAGCTCCCTCTTCACCACGACGGTCCAGCGCAGCGCCTGCATCACTGCAGACGCCACAACCAAGCACAGGAAGTTTTAAATGTAGATTTGAATGAATGAAAAAGAACCAAGGCAACGCTCAAAAAGACTTTGCACACTTAATCAAACCTTCCTCACATAAATCAGTGATTAAAAGCTGTACGGGTGACAGTCTGGGAGGAAATATTCTCTATCCATCATCAGCTTTATGGGAGTGGAACCTTATTAAAGATGACTGATAGGAGGAGGAGGATGGAGGGATGTGGGACACGAGAGTCAGTGAGGAGGCAGAGAAGTCAGTCATGGAGGAGGATCATTGAGAGCTGATGGATGGCAGCATCCGAGTGTGTTCTACCTTTATGTTTCCGTGTCTGTCCAGCGGCCGCAGGGAGTCACTCCAGCCTTTTTGCTAATGAGAGAGAGGGAGACAGAGATAGATGGTGTTAGCAGGCGGGGAGGAGAGGAGGTAGCCCCGAGGAGTAAAACATCAAGGAGAGAGAAAAGCGAGAGAAAACACAGGAAGCAGAGACGTGAACATTAAAGACAGTTTGTATTTGTTTGTTGGCAGAAAGTATCCATGCATAATGTTGGTGTACGGTGGTGTTTATTATATTTTAAAATAATTTCTGATATTGTTTATTTTCTTGGTTGTAATTTAATAGAAAGAGTGTTGTAAAGGCTCCACACAGCCACGTTCAGTGTACACTTTTATACCTGTTAAGACCTCGTTAATGTTTGTTTCTCACTGTGAGTCTGTTCATGATGTATTGTTTTGTAGGGTTTTCTCCTACAATATATTCTATTTCATTTTGATATCATTTTCTAAAATACTCTAAATTAATATATCAAATCAAATCAGACTGTCCTTTTTTTACTTTAATAACAAAAAAGTTAAGCTCCGCCCAGACTCAACCTAAGCAGAGGTGTAATCAGACAGACTGAGGACACCTGTGTGTGAGTGTCACACAGGGAAGACAACAGAAACAAGAGTCAAGCTTTAATGGAAGTTAAATGTTCCTGTCAGCAGGAGGAAATGAAAATTGTGTCTCCAGCTTCATATGTGATCAGCTGAGGATGTTGCATCTTCCACAGTGAGTGTGTTTCATTGACAGAAGTATTAGTTTCATCAAAATCCCTTCTTTTGAGTCTCTGCTGAGGTGCAGTACACAGTCCAGGAGATTTCCTCTTCATCAAAGAAAAGAAAATGTGGTCCTGAAATTCAAACACAACTCTAAACTGAATCATTAGAGAAAAATGTTGGCATTGTACGTTTCTACAAACCATGTATATGTTACATTTGTACATTATTATGTAGCAGATACATCTAAACTTAACGTTTCAACAACACTGTGGTTAACAGGTGGTCAGGTTTAGGCACAAAAATCACCTATAACTAGTTCATAGCCATTGGTAGCTTTGTCACCTTCTACCTATGCCAGTCCTCAATGCCTATGTGCAGTTTCACATAGATTGACCACGTCAGTGAGTAGAAAAACGTGGGACAGACAGAATGACTGACTGACAGAATGACACACTGACAGTTTCTGTGATTATGTACAGCATACCATACCATGACTTAGTCATACCAAATATTAGAAAACAACACCAACATTGGTCCACAGGGGGAGCCACAGCGATTGGTTTCATTTTAGCCATTTTGAAGCATTTTTCTGTTGTTATAGCGCCACCCAGTTGCCAATTAGAGTTAAATTTCTCCAGTCACCTTGAGGCGTCCTGTTCTACATATCTACCAAGTTTAGTAAAAATCCATATGGCGGTTAGGCCTAGATAAGAAATGAGCTCTCTAGCGCCCCCATTTTGTTTGATGGGGTCAATAATGGAGGGGTCCCCTCAGATTATGTGTGGTCATATGCCTACAAAGTTGCGTGGTGATGGGTGAAACCCTTGAGATGTTATACACCTTTATGTGATGAGCCACGCCCTCCGCAATATTCATTGCCTTATAGAAGCTCAGTTTTAGTAAGTTTTCCAACTTTTGCCAAGAGGGAACTTTAGATATTGGTCCCTAGATTATGTTCACCCAGTTTCATGCAGATCGCTCAAACTTCCTAGGAAGAGATCCATTTGAAGTGTTTTTCAAAAAATTCAAAATGGCGGAAAATCTATATAAGCGGAAGTTATGGGTTCTTGAGGCAAATGTGTTCCTCATGAGGAGAGGCATCTCTGTGCAATGTTTCATGTCTCTACGACATACGGGGCATGAGATATGCCCATTCAAAGTTTGACATTTCAATCATTTGCTATAGCGCCCCCCTTTGGCCAATTGATGTAATATTGCTTCATTCACATCCTCCCATGACCCTCTACCACTGTGCCAAATTTCACATGGATTGACCAAGTCAGTGAGGAGAAAAACCAGTGGATGTGCCAGATCTGCTGCTAAATTTAAGCAGCGAGAGCAGTCTATACTTATACTGCACAAACACAGACGTGATGTCATTCAGGCTGACATAAAACCATATTGTGAACATCACTGTTAATGCAGGCAGTTATTTGTCATCTGCTGAAGCTACCATGGCTCTTGTCCTGTAGACTGACATTGTTTGTCTTGTCAGCTGACAGTTACCTGGTTGCTGCCGCTGGCTGGAACATCACCCTCAATTTCAACAATTTAGTTTAGCTGATACTATGGGAGGACCATTAAATCAAATGTAACTACAGTACAACTTCACAGCACACAACGGGCATGTCAAAAGAAACCCACCTGGTGTTTTGCTGAAGCAGACTGCAGGCAGAGCAGAGGCTAACTCACAGGGCTGTGTCTAACCTTTGGTTCACTCCCACCTCAATCAGCAGCTCATAACTGGCTTCCATACAACGAGCCGCCAGCCACACTCATTAGCATAAGTAATGAGTGTGTACGGGTGTCACTCAGGGGGCAATATGAAAAGAAACACCTACAAATGAAGATGGAGGTAATTATGTATGAGTTCAGTGTGTGTGTGTGTGTGTGAGACAGAAGTGTAATAATGAAAATACTGTGTGTGTCTTTATTATTAGATTTTCAAGTGTGCAGGAATCATCACTGATGAAGTTATCGTCTGCAGACACACAGGCATCAAACTAATACCTGAAGACACAGATGCAGACGGCATCTGAGTACACACGCTAACCCGCTACTTCCAGGTGAGAGACACACACACACACACACACACAGACACACACACACACAGGCTCATGAATACTTGCATGGTTGCACACGGACACACAGCTCTGCCTAACACAGCTCTCCTCCTCCCTGCCTTTGTTTCAGAGCTGATTGTTATGCATTACATGGTCTCTGCAGGTTGTCTGGCTGTGTGTGTGTGTGTGTGTGTGTGTGTGTGTGTGTCAATGAACATAAGGCCTGAGCCAGTCAATACTCACTCAATAACAACAATCATCTATCAGGCCTGTTGTGGTCTGGTCACTGATTGTGTTTCATCTGCCATTAAGAAGGTCAGCCTGGAATTTCCACCCTGACAAAACACATTTCTCTTGGAGACAATAGTGAGTGAGTGAGTGTGTGTGTGTGTGTGTGTGTGTGTGTGTGTGTGTCCTTTTGTGTATGTCGAACACACGCATTTGTTCTTCAGTATGTGGTTAAAACACGTTGTCATCATCATCAACTCGTGAAATGATGCCGCCTTGTCAGCGGACCTATACGTTAAATATGACGCGCTGGGCACCTCCTGCATCATTTTTGGACGTTCTGGGATAGCGTGTCATTTTACACTTGTTACATGCTTTACGTCTTTTTAAAAATAACGTACAACACCACGTTTTTAGGGTAACTGCTTTTACCCCCACATTCTCCTCCTCCTCTTCTTGGCCAGTTGCATTAACATGTAGAAACATGCCCACTGCCCTCCCTGCGGTCTCCATGGGTCCTCAGCTTCTCTGTATTGAGGGGGCTAACGCTAGCTAGCTAGCAGTGCTGATCATTCGGCGATTATAGCCTGTAAAGCTCCCGGTGGCTGAACGCGTTGTTGATGAAAACATTGTGCCTACTCTCTGGTGTTCCTTCAGGTGTTCATGGTGACTAATCGGCTTCATTTTGAGCCACAAAACCCTTTTAGCATTGTTAACTATGTTAGCACCACTAGCTGTGCTGACACTGCTAGCAGTAGCAACAGAGCTAACAGTGATCAACAATGCTAAAAGGGTTTTACAGCTAAAAATTGAGCCGTGTCCTCACAGGGGCGAGCTGGGAGGGGACCAGAGGTTGGGCACAGTGTTTCCATAACAGCGCTGTTGGGTGAGTAGTAAATGAGCTGACAAAGTGGGCCCCACGTTTCATGCCGGGGCTACCAGGGTACTAAGTGGGTATGGGCTAAGTCCCGCCCTCAGACGTGATGAGCCAATCACAGTGCGTATAGCCATTCCCATACACTCGGACATTCTCTGCCTGGACGTCCATTGAAATGCATTACAGAAAGTCAGTTTTGTTCGGTTTTATGAGCTTTTTCTGAGATTTGAAGTTTAAAAATGGTCAAACGGTGTGCATGGGGTACATGCAACTCTGACACAAGGTATCCTGAGAGGCTGGGCGACCAGGTGTATTTTTTACACTTTAAACCACATCTCAACCGAGAAAAGTGTCTCCTTTGGATAAAGTTGTGTGGTAACATTAGACCACAACATCAACTCAACGTGAATAAGATTAACAATGATGTCTACATCTGTTCTAAGGTAAGTCAACATTGTGTTTGAGGCAACATATTGTCACTTTGCTGGAAAGAAATATAAAGTTATCTTTAACATCTCTAGCTAACGTTAGCTAAAGTTAGCCTAACGTTAGCTCCTAGCTGTGTTGTTCATCATGTCACCTTGTTTGCTGGGAGTTCATTAGCCTATTTAGTTCTAGTTTTGTACTTTGGTGATCGTACATCATTGTTAGCTGTTGTCCAAAGGGCTCTAGTTAAGCTAACGTTAACTTCTGGAGCTTAGCTTCATTAACTTATCTGTAATGGCAGAGATAACAAAGGTTGGCAAACGTTATGCTGAATGATTCAGTGTAAATACTGTAGCACCAAACTAACGGAGAGACACTCTTGGTAAAGATGGTAAAAAGGCCGTTATCCTTTTCTCATATTCTGAGCCAAAAACCTTAACTTCAGTGGCACTTTAACTTGTTGTCTTTGATGGTGACGGCAACCAGATGCGGTTCACAAGCGTACACTGTGACCTGTAAATTTTGGCTTGTAATTTAAGCTTTTCATCGACCTTCTCAACAATAAAATGATGAATATATCCCTCCAATGCGTAGTTTAGGCCCTTTTGGTTACTTCTCAATGACATCTGATCGTTATGTCCCCAAAAATCATCAATTGCCTCCTGTGAAATGCCGTGTACTGTGACACCTGCCATAGCCATAGGTCAATTGGCATGGGGCCATTATGGAACCTG